AAAAAACAATACATATTTAACATACTAACATTCATCATTTCGGCATTTCATAAATGAGCTTGTATATACTTTTTGCACATATCATCTCTAGCATATACTTACCATGACGTTCAGCATCATTCAAACACGTACCACACCGTACAATGAACCTATACGTATCACAAATACGAACCATTACATATCACCGACACCACCCTGTATCACCACCCGGATCACTTTTTTTATAGGGTTGTTTTACTGTTTTTTATGATTAATAAATGTTTTTTATACTCACGGACTAATTTAACACAAAAAATTTTAATATTTATAGCTTAATTAGTTAAATTAGCAATATGTAAATAACAATAAATTTTTAATTCTTACTCTCTGATAATTAAAAATTAAGCAATTAACTTACTTATTATGACATTTCAAAAACTCAGTTTCATTCTTTTCCACAACAATTCCGTAAAAGTAACAAATAATAGTTTTCAACATTCCTGTGGAATTACCCATCTCAGCTGACCTTAAATAATGTTCAAATGCTTTATGCTTGTCAACTTCAATTCCAATTCCTAAATAATAGCAATAATCAACATAATACATTCCGTCAGGATTATTCATCTCTGTAGATTTCTGATAATTAATGAATGCCTTATTCTTATCCTTTTTCACTCCAATTCCATGTTCGTAACAATAGCCAAGCCAGAATATACTATCTGGATCATTCTTATCAGCTGACTTTTGAAAGTCAACGATATCCAGTTGATTAAAAGCATTGGTGACCTGAATAATTCTTTCTGATAAGTTTTGTTTTTTTGCATATGACATTTTGGAAATTCTATGTAGTAATACTTTTAGCAAATAAATTTCCCTAAATTTATTAAAGATATTTCATATAGTATGTTCATATGTCGGTACATATATATTAATACTCTTTGAATAGAATGTTGTGTCACTTCTGCACTTGTCAGAAGTTGCAACTTTAAACAGTCTGACCGAGATTTAGTCCTAAAATTAGGTCTTACATTAGACGCCTAAAGTAACAACTCTGTACATCAAGTTTTTTTTTATAAGACTTAATTGTTTTTATGTAAAAAAACTTTTAATTATTTTAGAAGTTTTATGTATTGCCGGTAGGGATTAAGTAGTTAGGACGGAACTATATTAAAGCCCAAACTGTTATTATTTAAGTCAAACCCATTTGAACTAGTTGTTTATCGTCTATTGGTACGTTATAAAACTTTATACGTTCATAGAAACTAGTTTGTAACTGTTATATAACATGTATTTAACTAAATACTATCACGTATAAAAGAACATTCAATTTTTATGCATGCTGATTAGTCATAATAGTTTAATAATTCTAGTTAACTAGTTTTATTAACTGTTTATATAAGTTTTATAAACAGCTTCACGTAACTAGTTAAATCGGTTTATTTAGTTAATTGCCAGTTTGTAAATGATTTAGTTCATTGTAACTGGTTAACATTTTTATTTACTGTATCACTCTGGGTGTATAAATTAAGCCTTCTAGTTTATGAACATTTACTATTTTATTCACGTTAATTTAGGAAGTATAAAGTACATTTATGAAACTTATTCTATTCATGGATATTTGTTATTTAATTTTATTTTGTATACGTGTTATTAATTAATGGGCAAAAAACTTATTTTCATTAAATTATAATCAAATAAGGAAATATAAAGATATACTAATTGTGAAACTCATGAGTAAAACATGGTGTCAAGTGTGCGTTCAGACAGACTGATAAGTAAAAAATAAGGTGCATGAAATCACTATGAATTTACGATTGGTTGGATCGCATTCAAAAAATCGCAAAGGTTTTGCTCAGTATTTCATACAACCTGGTCGGACGGCATGCAGAAATCAGTACAGTCAGACCTCCCTAAATGAAACCCTCTAAATACAGCACCTCTTTAAGCGCGCGATAGAAGGTAGCCCACAATGTGACTTATAGATAAATGCACGTTCTTTATTCTGTAAGTGCACTCCCTCCATAAATGTATCCACGTAATTACTAACCAATCAAGCTTATTATTTTTCAAGTGACAATAATCACATTATGATCTTATTATTAATTGCAACTCTCTTGAATGCACGCCCTAGAGCTGGTCCCGGAAACGTGCATTTAGGGAGGTCTGACTGTACTATACAAGCATAGTAAAGATTTTGTCCTACAAACAGATGAGTTCAAACAAATCAATAAATACAAAATCTTGGGTTCATTATATTAAATTCCGTTGTCAACCAGACAACGTTGACCCAGCGGAATCATTATACGTAGTGCCTAGAAACGGGAAATTTTTTTATTACGTAATTAAAACAGATGATTGTTTTCTTAATACGTATATTTCAAAACAAATTTACAAATTTAACTGGACTTTTAATAATCACCTGTTTTAAATTTGTGAACAAGTGTTCAAACCTTTTTTGTTCATCCTAAGTAGTGCCACGTTTGAGCTAGTATTTTAAGTCAAAAGACAGACTTAATGTAATGCATTATACAATAATTTTCTTTGTAATAATAATCCCATGATCTTGAAATAGTGATCGGGATTATTTTATAATAATTTACCAAGGATCAAATTTTTTAATTCAAAGAACGTAGTAAGGATCTTTAACTTTAAAGCTATTTTTAGTTTCTTTTCGACTTGTACTCCAAACTTTGCATGTAAAAAATCCTAAATAGTAAAGAATAAATACTTAAAGTCAACTTTTTCATTTAAAAATTTACATACAAATTTTAATCATGTCGATTTATTTGACCAATATGCATGTATAATATATATACTCTGTAACATGTCGACTAACTATATATATAAATAACTCTCGATATAAAAAAGGCTAATTAAAAACTTTTATAAAATTTGGAAGTCAAAACCAGTTTATAATAAATTTACTTAAATATGTAAAATTTTTACTATTGGATTACTTGTATTTAAGTAATTGCATTCTGCGGAATTGGCCCTTTTAATTAGACCCTAAATTAATCATTTGCAAATATCGTTAATAGATCAGAGAATGACATTTGCAAAGCGTAATGAGTAAATTTAGGGTTCAAATTTAGATATCTAATAAAGGTCCAATTCCGCCAATCCGCAAGAATGGTTTTGTTTGTAAATTAAAGCTAAAAGAATAAAAAGAGCATTTTATTGCATTGGAGGTATAGATGGGTGACGAAATTATTTTCGCAATGACGAAAATGACGAAATTATGAGTGACGAAATTATTTTCATAGTGACGAAATTGATAAAATATTATTTTGCCAAATTTGGTCAATTTCGTTACCCATCACTAAATGGAATCGTCTTTCTGTCTTCATTTTTGTTATATTGACTATCAACATTCGGATTGAGATCCATAACATCTACTTTTTCACCAGTTAAAAATCCTTCATTTACATTTAGATCCAGTTTTCTTGCAAGTTTCTTAAAAGCATTATGAATTGAATCAACCTTTTTAATAAATTGATAGATTAATAATCATCTGTTACAAATATTTAAAATAAAAAATATGCAGATTGATACTACCTTTTGTGGATCACGTGAAAATATGCGAACGATCCTTTCTTGGTATTGTTCAGGAAAAAGATGGCTAATTCTTTCAGGTTTAAGATCGAGTACCATAGTACGATCTTTATTATAAAATTTAACACTTTCTAATGGATTCGAGTCTTTTTTTGCATAATTCAAATCTTGCCAATCGACAATTATGTCATCTTTGCTTAGTGTATTGCCACTTTGATTACTAGCAATTTCAAATTCATTGAGATTTTCCTATAAAAATTGGAAACTACATAATAAATATAAAAGGATTTATAAAAATATCGCGTAATTGAATAAGCACATTACTTTTGTAACGCCTGCCCTATTTTCTGGGATTATACATTCGTTCACAAACTTGTATAATTTCCTCTGTCTAATCCGTTTAATGATTTTTTTTGACTCTCCCAATCCCTACATACAATCATTTATTAGAATATTAAGTAGTTACAGTTAATATATAACAAAAACAAATACATCTAAAAGCAAATACCTCGCTTTTTACTATTTCATTTAAAATAGAATCATCCAATTTGATAAACTCATCAGGCTTAAGGACTATTTCCTCAAAATGGTATTTTGAATTTGCTTTCACAAGCGCGTCTCTGATCATAAAATTAATCGCTCTGGCTAAAATTAATATTGGTCAATAATTGGTCAATTATACCATAATGACAACAAATTTGTCAGTGACAACTTACTAACGCGATGGTTATATATTCTCTTGTGCAAAGAATATCGCGTGTGAAACATTTCATAAATGTTAAAGTATTCCTTATGATGGTAACCTATCTGAACTATCTGATCGTCTATGACATAAGAAAACTTCATCAATCGTGAAGAATCAAATAATGAATTCATCCCTAAATAATAACAGTCTCGTGCGAGATAATCAAATTTGTCAACATCCACAGAGTTACGTTTATTGGCAACGATGTCAAATAGATACGGAGATCTTTCACTAAAGTGGAAAAAATCGGATAAATTTATGTTATATATTTCAGTGTAAAAATGAAAAAAAACTTACGTTCTGTCGCCTTTAATAAGATTCTTGATATATTTCAAATCATCTGTGTTTAGATCAATGGAGGGCGACTTCATTCCATTATAAAGACGATCAAGCATCATTTCGGACCCATCTTCATGCTTCCATCTATAAGTATGATAAATTTTTTTATGATATCGGTATACAATTAAGCATTGACAATGTTATTTTGTTTTAAGCCTACTCTAATCCTGGCGCAATTGCTGGAATAACATCATTATCGAACACATGACTAAATGGTCCATGTCCTGTAAAATGAATATAAATAATGATTAATTGCCTTACGTTATAAATTTTAATTTTATTTGACATGCGATTAATTTAAGCTCACCTAAATCGTGACACAAAGCAGCCAATGTTACACATTCAAGGTCAGTTTCACCTTTTTCAATTCCTGGTTGATCGCGCAATTTTTTTGGTTAAGGTATAAGCAAGGTGTGCAGTTCCTGTGTATAATGATTTGACCTTTTAATATTTTCATTTCCGTGGTAAAAAAAGTCATGAAAAAAAAAACTTATTTTTACCTAGACTGTGTTCAAAACGATTGTGACATGCACTTGGAAAAACATAATTAGAAGCTCCTAATTGCTTAATGTCTCGCAGTCTTTGGAATTCTTCGGTATCTATAAATTCCACTGCCCACTTTTTAAATGTGATATACTCCTATTAAAGAATATATGTTAAAACTAATAATCAAACAACTTAATTGTCTATTATTAAGTTATAAATTTACATGGATAGGATCCTTAATAATCTTCTCTTGTTCCTGCGACATTGTAAATAGCGTTTTAAAGTTATGAACTCATCTTTCATTTATACTGAATATGGATGTATTTAAGGTTCATGATTTTCATTTACGTATCACTTCACGGATAAACATTTTTTCACTTAATTGCCATTTAGGTAATCGACATCACATCAGATGACAATTTATTATTAACAATATGCCTGCAACTAATTAAATGCTATTGTATCCCTGAATGATGTCGGTTAAATGAAATGTTTGCCGAAGTGAGCGATTACACAATTTTTTTTATACGTATAATCAAGTAGTACAATATTTCTTGGTTGTTGCTCAATTCCCCGAAAGCTATTTACCCGACAGGCCACTTACCCGACATCACATAGGGTTAGGGTTAACA